CCTCATTCTCGAGAATGTTGGTTGCAGCAGCAGTTTCTTCCGAATAGATATCACAAGGGAATTCTTTGCCACCATTGCTCCCCCCCACAGCACCTTCATCAGAGAGTGTATCAGCAGAGTCTGCACATGATAAATATGTATTAAAAAGAGGTTCAGAATAGGTTGATGGACATCTCAGTAACATATGATTCAATCAGACCTACCATTAATTTTGTTATTGAATTTGGACACAGATTTAAAACCTATTGGCCACTTGTTGGATGCCAAATAATGCATAGCCTCAAAGTAAGGCCATTTGTTCTTCTCAGCATCACTCTGCTTTTTATAATAGCAGTACTGGGCATCCAACCCCCTCTTCTTCTTTTCTAGCTTTTCAGGTACGAAAAAAAATCCCTCTGCACGCATATCCTGAGCTATTTTTACGTACGCTGGCTTCTTCTTCTTCTTCCATAACTCTATGTTTAAGCCAATATTATTCAAAAACGAATGGCATGCGTTCGGATCTGTCCACTTTGATTCTTTCTGCATGGCCTCTGAAATAATAAAATGTAATATAGACACTATTCAGTAACTGGAGGCTGGAAAGTATCTGATTGACTCACCATTATGGTCATCATTTTGGTCAATGGGGAGAGCGAGAACATCATTGTCATCATTGGCAGGTACTTCAATTTCACCTACATATACCAGGTCAGTAGGGAAGCTGGGATTATCGTGGGGCAGAGGATCTACGTCCAGGTTCACGACCTCATCATCCCCCAATATTAGCGAAATGTCGAAGCTACTGTTCAGATCTTTAACAGTATGGTCTGGCGCACTACCTACAAATTACAATTACAAAGGATGTAGTACAATAGCAGATAACAATGATAAAATTAGCACAATAACGTAGATCTTTGGACATTACCATCCTCGAGCAAAGTAGACTCAGCCTTCGGCTGAAACACGGGAGGCTGTTTCTCAACTAACGCTGCTTTCTGCGGCACACTACCTGCCTTCCTGCCACCTCGCCGTGATTGTGGCTTAGATTTTTTACTACTTGGGCTTCTTAGATCTATGAAGGGAGATAAGAAATTGATAATTATTCCTTCAACTGCTCCAGCCCGTCACTTAAAAACCTGGAGAGATAGGTATAAGCATGCCTCCTAACCTGCAGATTCTGCATCCTCCAAAGCCCTATTAACAGGTTTGGTGCCGACTCGCTTCAACTTTGCAATAGCCCTGGATGCCGCCAAGTGATCTAATTGAACAAAACGATAACAAAGCGACATGAGAAAGAAAATAACCCAAAACAGTCACCTCAATGTCAGACTGCACTTACCATATTCATACTTCGCTTTGTCTTTCTTTTTTATGACCATGTTGTATTGGTCACCATTGACATCATACAATGAATAGTTAATTTCGTCGTCGGCCAACATTTTCCTGACTTAATCTTAAATTTGAAGACAGAACCGGCGCCGGCGCAACACACGACAGAAAACGCACCACACAAAACACAAAACGCGCCAAAAACCCGACCGGACTCCCGATTCTCCGCCTTCCAGACTCGAGTCCGTCCGAGTCCAGCCAGACAGTTCCCCTCCCCCCTGCCGCATTTATTGGTCTCGGCAACCTCAGCAATCATTCATTTATGATATTTGTTATGATTAGTGTTTTATTTCACTATAAATGCGTCAAAAAACACTGTGCGACTTAAAATCGCATACACGTACGGAAACTGTTAAGATGTTAAGATGTTAAGATGTTAAGATGTTAAGATGTTAAGATCCTTAAGCTGATAAAGCCTTCGTGAACGCTTTCCATCAACGTCCCAACGAGATAAGAGGGTCAAGCCCAAGGGCAACATTTTTATTTGTGACCTATTTGTGACCTCATATGTGCAAAAATTGTGACCTTCGTAGGTCAAAATGAGTTCACAAATAGGTGACAAATACGTCATCGTGAGTGGAACCTTTTCCTTGGGAAGAACCATGAGACGTCGTTTTTTTAATAATTACGTCGTCCGTTCGATTACTTTTCACTGCTTTACTACGAATCTACTTTTACGTTAACACTCTGGGATATTTCAAAATAGGCACAAACTTACTGCGTCAATACCTCCGAGTATCATATCTAGTGCCATTGCAACAGCTCTGTCTGGATCCTCCGTCTTTACCAATAGAGTTTCGAGAACACTATAGCTCCGATCTTTTAATTCCGTTTTCGGGACATTTTTCAGCCTTTCCATGGTTGCTTTGACGTATTTTGATGATATCCTTACAAGAACCAAATCACGTGAAAATTAAATAGTGCCCCAGGTGTAGTCGGTTTCACGAATTGACTTTTCTTACTCTGTAATACCATCCATTGCCTTTGTAAATCTTCTGTAAGTGGGCGTTGATACATATTTCCACGGTGATGGCAAGACGTCGAGTTTGTACACAGAGTCAAAGACAGTGTGCGCATATTCTACCATTTTCGCGCCATCCGGGTTTGGGTTATCGCTGATACACCCTAGTTTCGTATCCAGAGCGACAAGGGTGATTGCTGCACAAACAACTTTCGTAAAGAGATCCAATATGCAAGAGATCAAACCGAACACAAATGTAATACAGGCTCTCACTCCAGTGTAAATCAATTTGTTACTTACATTCAAGCGCCCATTTTGCTAGCTCATCTGAAAAATTAGCTGGCATTAGTGAGTTTTGTTCACGAATCCGCCTCATTCTAAAGAGAAAAAAAGGGTTGTGTATGTGATTTATAGTGCAACTTTATAGTTCATAGCAGCTAACACACGTATTAAGTTCATACCTGTCAATTATTTCCTGGGTCACCCTGTCGATTGGCTCGACATATTGCTTTATATTTCTTGGCTGCAGCATCACCTGATTTACGGCTGTTCGAAATTCTTGCCATTCCTTTCCTTGACTTTACCAAACAAAGTGCTTACGTAACGGCAAATGACAACATAATGTGCAAATTTTCTGCATTGCATACTTACGATGACACAAGACTCATTGGCAGTCCCTTCCTTCGATTTTTGAAGTAGTATAGCAGCGAATCTGCCCCTGCGCGTATTGGCCAGGCACCTTCGCTCCTCAGTGCCTGAAAATTAACATTTTGCAAATAATCCTGAGCGCCGTAAATCAGAAGTTGACAAACTGTTTACCTACTATTTCTATTTCTTTTGGGTCACTGAGAAGTATAACATCCGGTCGCCCCCAAATGCCAGTCATTTTTGCTACTGGACCGTGGGCTGCAACTGTGTCCAAAACGTCTTCTATTTTTACTTTGAAGAATGCTCCTGTAATCATTGCGAAACGAATGACACTTATCCTTTTTACTCGTTCTTGACCTCCCACACCTCTTCTTGGGGGGCAGAGAATGAGTACCGTATCCAAGCTAGCAGAACTGCATCATGATTGCATTATGTCCAATCTAAAATGCGCCTAAAATGGGCATATGGCGCTTTAAAGCGCATTTGGCGGCTCGGATGTGACTGCCAACCCCCTTGGCCTGGTCACATTCCCCAGTAGCGCCAACCGCATTAAATGCGCTCAATGCGCATTGAAATGCACATTAAAGGTCACACCTTGGTGACGCATTAAATGCGCATTACAGCATTTAATGCGCATTTAGTGCGCATTACGCACATTTAATGCGTCACCAATGTGTGACCTTTAATGTGCATTTCAATGGGCATTGAAGCGCATTAATGCAGTGGCGCTTCTGGGGATTGGCTATCCCTCTAGCGAAAAACTGCGTTGATCTCGGATTAAGCGGCTGAACTGCGTGGATTCCGGATCCAGCGGCTGAACTGCGTGGATCTCGGAACCAGCCGTTGAACTGCGTGCCTTTTATTCGTGTGCGACATTCACACAGTTGCGTTTTCAGTGTAAAAATGCCATTTACTATTTCTGGTTGTGTTAAGAATTAAATCTTGCAACAAGTAATATACACTAGCAAAATATACATTACACCCTACTTTAAGGTTAAGGACGAGGTTGCCTCCATTGTATCAAAATTTGATCCATTCTGTTTCTTCTCATTTACTAATGGCAGGCAGGGGCCGCCGTGCCCAGTCACCTCTATGCATCCTAAAATCGCTTCGGAATGAAAATCACATTATCGTGTGGTACCACAGACGTCTATTTCTACCCAGACAAGGACTTCACAGTCCTAATCAGTGTTACTGCCCTCTCAAAGCAACTAGCCTCAAATATATAGCACTAATACTAACCAGTAGGCAAGAAACTCATGAGGGATCCGACGAAGCGATTGCTTTTTGGCCCAGGAATGGCGCTGTAGGGTTTGGCGAGGTCCCAGTCGGCCGGCTTGTCGGCAGGTTCCGCAGCATACTCTGCATCAGCGTGTGCAGTGGATCTCAAACGAAGTGGAACCTATTTCAAGCAACAACTAACAAAAACGTTACTAATGATTCTTTGAAACAAGTAGCACTGTTAAAAAACACACGGTAAAGGCCTGGTCTGCGCTGTAAATTTGTTGCCTGGTCCGGCACCGTAATTTTTCGTTACAGTCCATGTCATACAGAACACACCGTAACTTGAAAAACTGTTGGGGAAGTCGAATGTAGCTCTTAGCCCAAACAAGAAAATACAGTTCATACTGTTACGGCCTGACCTGAAAATACGGTACGGACCGTAGAAAAACCGTAACTGCCTACGGTATTTTTTAAGACGAAACGCACCTACTTTCAAAATAACAAAAGCGAGGTTGGTTCGACTGGGTAAGCGTGTCATATTTTTGTGCCGTGGAAAGCCCTTTCCCCCCGTGTCGTTCCTAGAGAACCACACACCACGAAACACACACTACGAAAAAAAATGTAAATCAAGAATCTATTTTGAAAGCAGATGATACCAATTTAATTCTATAGTTTACCTGTGTTTAAATATTTCTAGTTATGTTTTTATTTGTGGTGGTTTTGCATCATATTTTAAATGTTTTACTCGTTTCTCGTCTTTGACAGGGGAGGGAGGGGGGGGGGGCGTACCGGGCGGCAGCCGCGGCCGTGGGTGGGACCCTAGTATTGTTGAGCAGGGGCCTTACGCGACACTCAGCCAGGCACTCACTCACTCACTCACTCACTCACTCACTCACTCACTCACTCACTCACTCACTCACTCACTCACTCACTCACTCACTCACTCACTCACTCACTCGGTCGGTCCCCCTGCGCCAAAGAAATTTTTTTCTGGTCGCGCCTGGTTCTCTGTACTTATCGAGAGTAAAAGCTAGCTGACACCTTAAAGTTTCTTATATATTCTTTATGTTTAGTCAAAAGGTTTTTAAGGTATCATCTGCTAAAGCTACAGAGTTGACGCGGCACTCCCGGGTTACAAGCCATGCCATACCACCACATCGACTGTTTACAAATGAACTCCCCCGTAAAGTTTTACTTACCTGAATCCTGTGCACCTGGCAGAGGTACTGGGGAACTCGCCGCAACATCATCGTCATCGTGATGTCGTAGGTGGTCGTCTGAGGCAGGCAGGCAAAATGACAATATGAAGGTTATAAAGGTTCACGAGCGCTTGCATGGGTGCATACGGAGAGTTATTGTCTTTATCTCAGCCCACTAGATAACGTCCGCTGCTCACGTGTACTCACCCTGAGTAAGATAGCGTTGTTTCCCAGAAGTTAAATCAATTGCGCAGGTGCCTACTTATTTAGTCACCGCCACTTTTTCAGCGAAAACATCCGCTGTAACGCGGCCTGTGCCTCTCTCCGACGCGACAACAACACCGCCCCCCTCCAGGTCACCGCGGCACTAGTCAGAGCGGCCGATGTGTCGCTGTTCCCGCTGCAGACGCGTGGCGACTCCCCCCTCTGCTGCAGCTTGGCGGCTTTAGATCGCGCGGCCAACACGGATGCGTCGAATCGCGCCCAACCAGCGCATCCACCCACCCATCCATCCATCCATCCATCCATCCATCCATCCATCCATCCATCCATCCACCCATCCATCTATCCATCCATCCATCCATCCATCCACCCACACCCATCCATCAATCCATCCATCCATCCATCCATCCATCCATCCATCCATCCATCCATCCATCCATCCATCCATCCATCCATCCATATCCAGCCAGCTCATCCTCCCATCCATCCGCAGGTCTGCCTTTTGGTAGAGACAGTCGTAAGGACTGTCTAAAAAAGAAAACAAAATCCAGAGTGAGCGAGACTTTCATTTTTGACTTCATCTGCGCACACCTAATATATTTTCGCGTTTTAATGTCAATAAATGCTACCCGCCTCCCCGGCCGCTCGCTCCGTATAACAGCGGGAGGCAGGGGGATGCCTGACTCAACACGTGTTCGCTGGACCCGCCATTGGTCCCCTCTGTTATTGTCCTGTGTGGTGTGCTCTCGACCTGCTCGACTAGCATCTGCATCCAAGAAATGCAGAGCATACCTAACCAAAGCAAAAACAAAAACTGAAAATAAAACAACAATAGTGAATGTTTGATCAATAAGTGTTTTCCTATGGGCAAAACATGTACTACACTGATACATTTTTTGTGGAAAATTTCTAAAAGTATAATTTAGTGGTATAAAAATCGCCGAGACCGAGAAAGGTTTGCGTGAAAAGTATTTTAAAAATCGGGGAAAAAATTAGAGGGAGTCAGCTTACGAAACTTTGAGATTCATCTTTCGTTGATCTCAGTATTTAATGTGTATATGTGTAGATTTCTTCAATCTGAAATTTAAGCAATGGGCAGTGTACATTTTTTCGTACTTTTTTTTTTCGTTTTAGTTGACCGACTGTGTTTGTTGCAGAGCCACCGCTGGGCTCGACGCTGGGCGGCCCCTGCGCCGACTCGTGCTCGCCCAGCCTGCTGCACGTGCGCTGCCGGGCGCGGCGCTGCGAGTGCGAGAGCCGCTACCCGGTGGAGCTGGGCCCCACCAGGGGCTGCGCCACGCGTGAGTATGGGGCCCACGGGGGACTAGCCGACGGACGGGCCCGCATGGGGGCTATACTTTCAGCCCTTATTTGTGTTAGTGTGCACACTAAACTATGGGCTCGAACTTTTTCTCAGCCTTTTCTTAAATGCGCTAAAGCGTAAAAAGAAGAGGTGAAAGACGCCAATGTTCACAACCTGACGGCTGACGGCCGTTAATTATTCAAATCAGTCAAAAACATTCCATATCTCTGCGGACGGAATTTTAGTTAAATCAAAAGGTGTAAGTTTTTCTTACACTGTAAAAAATATTAGTAATTTTACTAGCTACTGGGTGGGGAAATTTCATGTACAAAGGTTCGGGATTTGCAGTACATGGGTTGGGAATTT